TCATTCAAAATGAAGTAAAACTATAATATGTATAAATATTGTAAATAGAATATTGGTTTATATATTATATTGAATGTAAATATTTAAATATTGTATAATAATAACATAATATTATTTAAGGTAATAAAAGCATATATATTATATTTATTGTTTTAATTAAACCTTCTTTACATGCAAAGGGTTATATATTTTTAGATTATTATTACTCTTGAAACCAATTACTCATGATTGTTGAAACATTTTAAATCATTAGCAGTTTTCCATATTAATTTGACTATTTCATTAACCTAACAAATACTATATTACTGCACAATAACATTTTAGGAGATTAATAAAGGTAAACTATTTATTAAATGATATCTACCTTATCATTTGTTGTTAAAAACACTTCTAAAATTGCAATTGTTTGAGTAGAAAATGAAACAAAAATTGATTCTTTCACAAGAGTTTAAGTTTTTGCTGCAGAAATAAACTTCATTAATTAATAATTTTTTAATTCAATAGTTGGAACTCTTAAAAATACTATATTACAACACAAGGCTATGTAGTTAATGATATATAGTCTGTTAGAGCCTTAAAAGTCAATAAGGGCCCTAATTACCAATATTCAAAAGCTAAGCATTTACAAAAACATTAAAAAATGGATTCAAATGCTTATTAAGCCTCTAGTCTTGTATTACTGCATTAGAAATAAGAGATATAGTATTTCATATGATAAAAGAACAATCAATTACCTGCAATAACAGTCCTGTACTAGCTGATGCCAGATAACAGAGAAAACTCTTGAATCATGAAAGAGCTCTAGGGCAACAGTTATCACTAATCAGTTAATCAATCAATCGATAAAACCAATAATAAACTAATCAGTTAATCAATCAATCGATAAAACCAATAACAAACGGTAAATTCGCCCGATCAACCACCTAAGGCCACAACCCCATCTAGTAGTGTGTGGATGGACAGCACATCCACTCTAGGGAGGAGAAGTTTGTTTCGTTTGTTTCGTTAAGGGCCCAAGTTCGAGAAATTTTCATGTGAAAGGATGTTAAAGGCAGTGGAACTTTCATACCTTACGTCCTAAGGTTGGCCGAGGTTGTACCTGAACACGCAGCTCTCTTTCACGACATCTTTAATACTTCTCAATGAAATTGCGATCTGTTAAAGATCGGTGACAACCTCTTGGAACGAACAACATACATGGTTTGTTAATCTCATAGTCATCATGGTTCGAACACCTTTAGTTACTCACTTGTAACAAACAGCTATAAATAGCTTCACTGTCCATTCACCGCGACTCTTTTAAGAACGTAAAAGTAAATAATAAAATAAGTAAACAAAAATGTAAACAAACAAACTATATTGTCGATTGCATTGGCCAGCTGTTGTTCACTAAATTAATCAAATAATAACTTCCAAAACATGCAAGGCGTAGCCTTTTGAAAATCAGCCTGTGGGGCAGAGCCCTTAGGGAGTTCGTCCATATCAATACTTTTCGGCAAAATCTACACACTCTAAGCTTCATTTTGATATGCCATATGCCTATATTTTTATTTGGTAAATGGCCTTAACCGTTTACATAAAATTTGATTGTATCACTGTAATAATATAATATACTGTTGTATGGATAATATTGTTGTACTATTGAGTGGATGGATTCATATGTAAACAAGCCTTGAAATCATATTAAGTGAGACTAATTCGTCAACGTTTGTGATTTATGAAAGCTATAGTGACAATAGGCGGATGGTGGCCCCACCTTCTGCAGTAGCCTATCTATAAAAGCTATAATGTATATACAAAACTATAATATCTATAACTAATATTATGATGGTCAATTTATACATATCCACTGTTTTTGTATCTTGAACTGAGGTGACACATATGTCGTCAAATCGTCGTTAAAATTGGTTAAAAACTGTTTAAATATACAACTTTTAGCACGGTGTTTGTAACTAAACTAGCCCAAACTTAGATTTAAATCCATCTAATACCTGCTCTTGCTCTGGAGTGCTCTGGGGCTCAGGTCCTTCTTGGAAGTACAATCATTACTAATCCTACCGTACCTAAGGAAGTACGTAAGGAAGTACCTAAGGAAGTACTTCCCTACTTCCCTCTTACCCACAAAATCTTTTCAATTTACCTATAGGGAATCTTTTGGGGGGGAAACGGAAGCCTGGCGAGCTCTGGCCCTAATCCGGGGTCGAACCCTTTTACGCTTCATTAGGCTTCAGTTCGCACACCAACTAGCTTTCCCCCAAGAATACCTCTCTCCCCAAAAAGTACCTGACCCGTGGGTAAGAGAGGAGGATGACTTTGGTGCCCCGGTGGGGGGAGGGGTGCAAAGGGCAATGGCTTTGGGGAGGAAACACTTCCGTTACTGAGGGCAACTGATGGGATAGTGACCTTCCTAGAATTGAATTCTTATTGTTGAGATATTAAGTTAAACAAATGTATTGCAGCCAATTCTTTGAATCACTAGAGTAATAGCATAAAGACGATTCCGGTAATGAGCTAGCTATTTCCGTCTTAAACTTTAGCATGAGTAATATATGGACGGCTCAGGAGATTGCCAAATAGTTACTAATACATAGTTGTTTCTAGCCTTTATATTTTCTGCTCCCTTAGTGCACTGTTTTATTTTACAATAAAAACCAATAACTTAGCTGTGTTTTTTTTTGGAATTTTATCATCACTTCATTATTATTGTATATTTGTTATTGTGAATTTTGTTTTATATAATTTATTATATATTTAGTCAATCAAATTCATAAGAACAATAAATAGTTTTATATACCTTGTTGAGTTCATAGTAAAAGTATCTTTAATTTTGGCCGCATTTAAATAATGGTGATTAAATTTGAAACAATAACGTAGGCCTAGTAACTAGTGTTGCATATACAACATTCGGTTGTGAATTTTCTTGTGCTTTGCCTTGAAACAAAAATTAGTTATATATGAGCGGTCTCTGGAAGATCACGCGGGTTTGGATGAATAGTTTAATGATGCCTATTGATTTGTTTCTATTGTTTCAGTACAAATTGATCAGGTTGTTAAGCGAATTTCTTATTCAAAGGTACTGTATAGGATATTAGCTATTACCGGAGATCTCGTTGAAAGACTCCCAGGACCGATTTACTTTTTCGTTTTGAAGGGTCATAACAGCCAAAAACACCACCCGTCCACATTTTTAGATATATGTCCGTCAGCACGATAACTCAAGCAAATATAATCTGATGTTGATGAAATGTGGTTTAAACGTTATTATTAAACTTATTATTATTACTGGTTATTATTTAAACTTTCGTTAAATAATAAAATAGGGATTTCCCATTTTTGACCCTAAAACATACAGTTTTTCTATTTCTTTCTAAACCATTTTGTAGGTCTTATAAAAAAATCATTTAGTACCACAAAGCGTTGGTTGTACGCCTGCCGGGGAGATAAAATTCAATAAAAATGGTAAAGTAAATATTACTCTTTGTTATTTTTATTTTTTAAATCAACTGTTGTAGTTTGCTTGTTTATTGACGGATATTGTACCTAATACAATCGGGGAAATTTGTTAATTTCATACCAAGCTATCGACATTTTAACCAGCAAACACACCTCTTTACTGTCACTTTAGCAGCAAACTTAGGTAATCATTAAATCACTATCATTAGACAGTTTTAAGGGAATATTTTTGTGTAAATCTTGCTAGGTAAATGGAAATTAGCTTATCTGCATGCAGGTTTACTGCGGCGGGAGTAGGTTATTTTATTATGAGATTGGATTTGTCTGTTGAAATATCATATTATGTAAGTACGTTGTTCATACAATTAAAATATTTATAGTATTACATTTCATATCATTCGTTAGGTAGTGTTAATTCCCCACATTATATGTAATTTTAATATTTAATTCCCTTTATTAAATGTTCCCTACACTTAATTTGTCCTCACATATTTGTAATTTGTAAATAAACCTAATGTTGACAAATATTCTTTTCAAGCCAGCACAACACCAACTCCCAAATATAAGAACCCCCATAATTATTTTAAGAACCCCTGAATATCCTAGTAATAATCCTACAGTATATTAATTACTAGCAGAGTACCCGTCCTTACGGCCGGGGCCACACTCATCTTATCTCGCTGATTTTTTTCCACGGGCGTTACCCGTGGGTTTGAAAGATACATTACGGTATATGGGGCAGGCCACACTAGAGTAAAAACGTCCGTGAACGCGTTTGTCAGTCTCGCTGGTAAAACCAGCGAGACTGACAAACGGAATTGCACGTGTATTCTCTACTAACATTCCACGGGCGTTGCACGTAAAACTAGTCGCGGGGCATTGCGGCTTATGTGAGTGAACACACTCATCTTATCTCGCTGAACTTTTTCCACGGAAGTTTCTAGTTTTAACATGTACAGAGAGCGTGGAAGGGGGGGGGAGTGCGTATCACGGACACGGACGATTGTTATTGCCAGTGTGGCATGCTCTATCAGTTTCACTGGTTTGCCCGAAAAATCTATCTCGTAAGACGAGTGTGGCCACGGTCAAACTGTTTCACGTGCGTCGCACGTGAAAACGGAAAAAACAGTCTTGCTGGTTAAAATTTACAAGTGTGGCCCCGGCCTGGGGTTGGCGTATAAGTATGAAATGCTTATTGCAGTTATACTCGTAAATAGTATACTATTTCGTCAATTCGGTAAATTCCGAATAGGTAGACCTAAATATAATAACAGTTAAAGCAAAGTTGGAGAGGTTAAATTATAATTAATTTTTTACATTTTAAATTGAAATGTTTGCTTTAATATTACGGTTTAAACTTCCGCGAGGGCCACTACATTTCCTAATCACGTACTTATCACTGCTTACGCTTCTTCGAAACTGACCAAAGTATACATTTCATTATCTAAATCATCGTATAACCTCATAGTAGCCACTAGTAATCTCTCCCGTGAACTTATCTTACGCACCAACCGTGTGTATTGTACGCAGTCTAGGAAACCACTCACGGCAGCTGCGTTTTGGGACCTGGACAAAAGCCTTATCTATTAAGCTATGGTTCCACAAGATGCGGAATCTCCGCTGTGCGGTGCGGTTTTTTTCCGCTGCGGAATTACAACGACACTGGTTTAATGGAATTCCCATGCGGTTCAACTGACGTGCGTTTCCGCATCCCGAATTTTCGGTTCCGCATGGCGGACAAATCATACTGGTCTGAGAGCATTGGCAGTGCGGATTCCGCCAGCGGAGAAGAGCCATCAATTAATTATTGTGACCGATCCTATTAATTATTGTGATAATTTAGTTTCCTAACATTATTTAAATAACCTTATTCTTTTTAGGGATTGTATTTTTTATTCGTGTATCAATAAAACTGCAATTTAAGTTCAAATTGTTATTTTATTAATGTTTACCATCACCATCCTCATAAAAATCAATAAGGTGATTTTTAAGAACTATGTCTAACATCAGTTGACAATAAAAGTAACCACAATTAAATATAAAGTCTGAATATTACCTAATAGCCTATTATTTTATAGTATTTATGGTAAATATTTGTGTCCCCTACTCGTTGCTAGTTTGGACAAAATTGAATTTCCGCAACGTTATTTCCGCAGTTAGTCCACCCCTCCAGATTTACGCTGCGGAAAATTACGCACCGCATGGCGGAAGTTCCGCAGTCTGTGGAACCATAGCGTTTCCCATTTCGTTCAATGTTTGGATTTAACTTAACCTAAAAAAATTTTTGAAAGACCCTAGGACTAGTTACTAGGCCTACGTTATTGTTTTAAATTTAAAATGTTTGAGATGTATGATTTATATGATTTGTTGGGAAAATATGTGTAACACGAGTTCAAACTACCTCTGCCGCACTCGATAAACTTTCAACACTCGCCCACGGAACAGCGTACACATTTCTCTCGTATGCAGCAATGCGCCACTTCGCCCACTAGTTACACAAATAACTATTGGAATAATAATCAGCCTATTTATTAATGGGTAAAATGAGCTATGATCATGCGAAATTTCAACCCAATTCGAGTCATTTCTTGATTGAGTCCCAAACAAATAACGAACACACACTTACAGCTTTATAATATCAGTACGGTATATAATGATGTTTCGATTGCCAATACACTAATGCTGCCCATGTTCTTTAATAAAGTCCTATAACAAGTACATTTGGATTTTTTAGCTGGAAGCAGTTAAGGTGGAATGTCTTTGAAGATGAACCTATTTGGCAGTAGTGTGATCATGTGTTCAGACCTGTCAAATTTTGAGGTTAAGTAAAAAAAAAAAACAAACTGACATAATAATTCTTGGAATTGACAATAGTTAAATATACTTTAAACTTACTCTAGCCTACTTTTATATAACTACTTGGCAATATATAGAATATTTACTGTGAAATAGAGAAGTGATTCCTAACTCCAAATCAGCTAATGAATAAGTTGATACTTAATTATTTTCTCCAAATTATAGGTGATGGTTGCTTTGATAATAGTTAATTATATTAGTTAGTATTAAAATATTGAATCTTCTTGCATAAGTTAATTAATTTCGATCATTATATTAAAGCCCCCCACACACTACCAGACCAGACCTACAGACCAGACCGTCTGGTCTGTCGTCTGGCACTTGTCTTATCGTGTGTGGGGCTGTCTGCAGACCGATTTTCTCGGACCAGACGGTCTGCGTGTCTGATGGTTGAACCCTCAGACCACAGACGTTCTGAGGTTCCCCCACCACTATTTTTGTCTGGTCTGTGAGTGTGTAGCGCTGTCTGTCAGACGGCCGACCATCGTGACAGTCTTCATCCATTTGTTGGAGTTCTCACCACGGTCTCTCGATTACGAATGTTAGACCGTCTGGTCTGGGAGTGTGTAGAGCCGTCCAAGACAGTCTGGTTTCAGCCAGACGGTCTGGTCTGGAGGTCTGGTCTGGTAGTGTGTGGGGGGCTTAATAGAATAATATGGTTGCTACGACTGGGATACACATAAAATAACTGTTGGGACATACAGTAATGGTGATTTACGTTTAGTTTTGAAATATCTTAACATCTAAATATAAACTCGCCTTTTGGGTTTCATGTTAGAGATCAGAATTAAATACTCTTGAGATGACGAGATGAACCTTTATAGACTCACGGTTTGACCCATTTAAATTATAATTAACAGCTAATTGTATTGCTGATAATTCATTAATGCAATCACTAATCAAATAAGTTCACCTCATACAAACAGGATAACATTATACAATAGGCCAAGGAAGCAAGATTCGAGTTTGGTTTATAAAATGCAGTAGCCTAAAAACAGATTTTTTTCTTATAAATTAAACAATGAAATATAGTAAATCATTTCATTTGATCTTTAATGGCAATTCTTTCGTAAGTAATACCGTAATACAACCGGGCCTCTAAATGCTTAATTATTGATTGCCAACATGCCAGTTTGTTTGTTTTGATTTAACCTCAAAATTTGACACATAAAACACATGATCGCACTACAGCTAAATAGGTTCATCTTCAAAGATATTCCACCACACCTTAACTGCTTCTAGCTAAAATATCCAACTGTAGGTAAGAATATTTTTGTATATATACGCCTCATAGGCTACACATATGTTCGAAAAAAATGTTCGATAATTATAGCATTAGTATTGATTGTCAAACGCCAATCAATAGATACTTTCTTGGAAGCTCTGTTTTCTGTTTAGAAACTACTTTGCATCTACTTGTAGTGCATACAACACACGGCCACGCTCTCGTGTTGTTCTCCTCTCGCCACAGACACTCTCCTCACCCTCTCTCTCCTTCTCCCGCCCCTCTTTACTCGACCACCCCTTTCTCCCAGCAAAATACCCGGTATAGTACTGTTGGGGAGAATAGGCTTATGTCAGGTAGTCTTCTCCACTCGCCTCGACACTCTAATGACCCCTTAATTTACGAGTTCGATAAGCCGGGTCGCCAGCGCCCCTACACTCCTTTTGGGGACAGCAGACTCAGAGCTACCCACGTTCCCTATTGTTTGTTGCGGAGGGTAAGTTTCTCATAATCACCCCAGGCCGAAAGTCCTACACTCTTATTTGGGACCATTGGAGAACAAATGAATCCATTACGATGTGTTCGTATGTTTTCTACATTGTCATTCCAATACAAGACAATGGACTACCATTTCACAAAATAATTAATTTGTATTAACAACAATATAATATCAGCTGGTGTGTCACATTAGTTATCAGGTAGGTGTGTCTGTTTTGAATTCCGTCGTAATCAGTTTCTGAATCACTGTAGCTGTAGTTTTATAAACAACTGTAAGTTTCAATCTGCAAGTAGCCCTGATAACAATTATTTAGACTTCAAGATAAAGCAAGCTTGTCATCCACCTAATTTCTTATTTGGTCTAAAAAATTGGCTTTTAAAAGAGGGAGTATTATTTATTCAAACGCTACAATACAAACCTATCGACCTATCAAAATTACGATACAGCATATACAGTGAGGCTATTAAGGCCCTACTTGTGTTTTCTACAACCTATATCTATTTTATTTTTTATCATTGGACTCGTTATCGTAGTGTTTTCGTACATACTCTGACTTTTGTAGTTCCAATAAATTTGTGAGGTTACAAGTCCAGGTGTAGGAGTCATCATGTAAATGTGTGTACGTTGGAATGGGACTACGTACGAGGGAAGATAATAAAGAGATCTCTAGAATATTACACAACTGATCTAACCTCATATCTAGACCTGATCAGAATGAAATAGAAACATTTCGTCTATATATGCATTGCAGAAAACTTCCAGATCTAAAAATATAAACCAAGGTTGACGATGAACAGTCTTTCTCTATTGAGCTATATGGTGTGCAAATGAAAATGATATGTAATAGTTGTCCAAGATCTCTGGTTAGTTTCAATAGGAATATATAGAATTGATCCATTCGTCGAATACCGAAAGTCTGTGACATTCTGTGTTCATACCTCACGAAAGAATAATCAATTATCATTATGAAACTTTAGGCAGTGTTTACTCTATTTTACCAAACTATCCACGTTATCTAGGAGATGTAAGCAATCAATAGCATTATATCTTTGAATAGCCTACATGCACATTTCAGTGTATAAAAAATCCTTACTGTCATAGTAAGTCATCATGAGAAAATGTTGTCAATATCGCGAGCTGGTCTAGTGGTTAGAGCGCGGGGCTTCGGTTTCTGAGATCCCGGGTTTAAATCCCGCATCATCCCCTAAGTGATAATGCCGCAAACACTAGGTCTAGCCTGAAGTAATGTGAAAAACACTCCCAGACTCGTGCCTAGCGACCTACGAAAACAAAAATATCGCACAGAATTAGGTTGTTGAAAATTAACCATTTAGTTTAAGAAGTAGTTAGGCCATGTTTGAATTGCTAAAGACATTCTCACAAATTCAGTGGATATGGACAATTAAATGTTATCTTTATCGGTGCCCTAGTGTTGCCGGAGTAGGAAGCGTGAAATGTTGTTTTAGCGTCTCTGTTCAATGTAGAGACATAACTATATTTATAATTTGGTATATTAAAGTAATATTTATAATCTATGCTCGATGGTGAATGCTAATACAAACATGTGTTGGTTGACGTTAAACATCTTATCAGTTTAGTAAGTCAAGAAAGAATTATTTCTGAGCCTAATCAGTTGTATTTTCAAACATTTGTACGTGTACATCAGCAAGCAACCCTGATAACTGATATTTAGATTGTGATGTAAAAAACTAAGTTTTATTGAACTAATTAGTTGTTTTAGTAGTGTAAAACCTAATGACAGGTAAACTTAACACTTAAAATGTTGCCTGGATTTAAACTAGTACTGTAAAAGAATAAAAAAATTTAAAATCATTAATCTTACATCAATTTTAAGTGGCATACGGCTATAACACTGCTATACTCTTATTATACAGGGTATTTTTTTAAAAACTTGCATCTTTATTTATGTAAAAACCGCAATAGATAGAAATATGCAGTTGGCGGTAATCATCTATTGACATAGGGGGCACATTTTTTTTTTAATTCAACGTTACATTCACATTCCCCCCCTTACCCCCCTGCCACCAACTTATCTTTTTTTAAATAGCAAGGTACCCCTTGTGACATATCAAATAAAAGAGCATGAAAAAAGAAAATGTTTGATGAAAGAAAATTGAAAATCGGTTCATAAATGTGTGATATATTCCCCCCTTCTCTACTTAATTTTTTTTAATAGCAAGGTACCCCTTGTGACATATCAAATGAAAGAGCATGAAAAAAATGTTTGGTGAAAAAAATTAAAATCGGCTCATGAATTTGTGAGATAATCCCCCCCCCCTTTTCCCCTACCAATAACAAGTTTTTTAATAGCAAGGTACCCGCCCTTGTGACATATCAAATGAAAAATAAATTTCACCAAACATTTTCTTTTGTCGTGCTCTTTAATTTGATATGTCTCAAGGGGTACCTTACTATTAAAAAAATTAAGTTCCGGGGAGGGGGGGATATCTCGCAAATTTATGAACCGATTTTCATTTTTTTTACATCAAACATTTTCTTTTTTCATGCTCTTTCATTTGATATGCCACAAAGGGTACCTTGCTATTTAAAAAAAAAATAGTTGTGGGCAGGGAGGAAAGGGGGGGGAATGTGAATTTAACGTTGAATTAAAAAAAAATTGGCCCCCCTACGTCAATAGATGATTCCCGCAAACAGCATATTTCTATCTATTGCGGTTTTTACATAAATAAAGATGCAAGTTTAAAAAAAAACACCCTGTATAGTGTAACACTCCAGAAGTCAGAAGAGCGATTCTAGTCAAACTCATTTTTAGCGTATTTCCTAAAGGGATAATCTATTACCTAGCAAGCCTGATAATTGCAACGTTAAAACAAAGTTTAATCCAACTAATTCGTAGTAGTGTAACACATAAGCATGTATAAGCTAAATACTTAAGATTTCCTCTGAAGCTATACCAGCGGTAGAATTACACTGAATAAAATAAAATAATAATAAAAATATAGTCAAACTAATTTTTCTTCTTTCTTTTTCAGACCTAAATCATTTTGAATAAATCCTACACTATCAAGCTTAACAGAATGAAACATGCATCTCTTGCCTTTCCCAAAATGTAATACCTATGTTTAAGTAATAAGATAAACTAAAATCGAATGTCCTAATGATATAGAGAATATTCAAATTGGTATTAGCTAAAGTAAATAAATAAATTCTTCATATAGTCGATTTGAATAAAAACATTATATATGAACGTAATATCCAAAACAAAAGTCTTTAGTCTCTGGGAGATCTGACAACTAATTTTTATAATTGTATTACCAATTAGTTTAATTTATTTAGGTGGATGGGATACGTTTAACTATTTTCAACATAGAAAATTTCCAATATTGGTAAATATAATAAAATATCGTATATACCTTTAAATGAAAATGTGGATATTTGGAAATAAATAAGGAATTCGCTGTATTGAAAATTACTGGATGATCTAATTTGTTTAAATGTCTCCAACTTAAACATAACTTTTGAGTCGAGGTTTAACCTTCTTATACCATCTTGTATGTTTCAAAACGTAGATGTAGACTGAGATCAATCGTCCTTTATAGGTTACTGAAAAATGTGTTACCTATCGTATATAATCTTTAATTTGTCCAACATCATAATTTGACTAACGTCCTATCTAGACAACTGTTTTGACTTGATCTGTAGAAAAAGTTAACTTGTTTTGTTAAGCCAAACTGAATCGGAACCTTTTTAAAACTACAATAGTTATTTGTGTAGTGCGCGAAGTGGCACTTTGCGCCC